CCCCCCCCCCCCCCCGCCGCTACTGTCGTTGCGTTGCCGCAGCCGACGCCTTCCGCTACGTCGCAGGCGCCTACCTCCCAGCCGACACCTCAGCCGTCTACACAGCAACCCACGGTTGCTTCGTCGTCGGCTCCGGTCGCTTCCACTCTCGAGCCCACCTCAAGCGTGGCGGCGGAACCGACGGTGGAACCGACGGCAGAACTGATAGCAGAACCAACAGAAGAACCAACAGCGGCAGAGTCGACGACGGAGGAACCGACGCCTTCGCCCACCGCAGGTGTTGATGACTGGCAGGGCCTGGTACCTGGTACACAGCACCCCACGTCGTCAAGCGTTTGGATTGAGATCTGCATACTTCTGTTTTGTTTTTCACACACACGTAACAACTCATCTTTTTTTCCTTGCCGATCAAGGGGATGTGTTAAAAGCCTCTACAGCAGTGAGTGTTGAGGAACACCTGCCGCATACTGGACGCTTGAAAATCTGTTTCGTTTTAGTGCCTAGGTACTTCTCAGAGATCAGGACCATTATTTGTTCCGGCTTGTTGCTCTCCCCCCCTCAAGTCGAAGACTAACTATAACCTATTTGAAAATTTTATTTCCGTCTCGTTTTTTTCCTTTATTTTTTGTAGGGTCCAGAGGAATAGACACCGTCGAGGCGGCCAGCGAGGGCGGCGACGAGGGAGGAGTCTTCACGACGAGCAACATGACGGTCACCGCGTACATCGCCGTACCCCTGCTGGCCTTTGCGCTGCTGGCCTGCTTCTGCGCTCGCCGCCGTAACCGCGAGGCAAGTGGCGCAGGGGCGGGAGCGGTTGCGGGTACTGGGGGGGGCCGTGAGTCATGGATGAAGAGGGGAGAGTCCGAGGGCGACGGGGGACTTGGAGGGCACCTCGATGCGAGACCGGCGGCGGCGGCGGCCGGTACTGCCGGCGGAACCACCGCCGGTGCAGGGATGCGGGGACACAAGCATGGGAGGGCGGACGTAGGCGGCGGCGCCGGCGCCAGTTTCGGCAGCATCGGCAGCCAGCAGGGCGTGCCGGGGGCGAGGATTTTCCCGGCTTCGGGCAGCTTCTCGCCGCACACCGCCTCGCCGGTGCCTCACGGGGGGAGCGGGGTCGTGAGCGACTCGAGCGGACCCGCGGGCACCGGTCGGAGCGCCTCTTCGCCGGGTGACGAGGAAGACAGGATTGGTCCCCTGGACGGGCACGGCGGTGGCAGCAGGCGCGGGGGCGGCGTGGTAGACGACGACGAGCTCTCGGAAAACGGCTGGGGGTCGTACATCGGGCCCGCCGATCTCAATCTACCGTCCTACGAGGAGCCGCAGCGCCGGTGACGAGTAGCGGCAGCAGCACCGAAACGTGGAGACTTACATGTCTATCGGTCAACCACGTCGGCTGACCAGGGGGAGGCAGGAGACGCGCAAAGCCATGAAGGAGGCCTGAGGTGACCCCAGACTCGACTCGACTGCCCGGCAGGCGGGGGGGTGCCGGACACTACACTCGCTGCTGATCAATTGGAGAGGCGGGGAAGGAAGTGGAGGCCGTACAGCGGCCTATTTCACCGAGGGGCATCTCAACTACAGGGTATATTTCGTTTTTCTTGTGGAGAGCGTGTGTCGCGTTTTGATGATGCGCGTGGGTGGCGGACGTTTATGTACGCAGTCTTGTTCTGCAGCGTCAAGAGCCGTGCTGTTACACAAGGCGTCGGTGTAGGCAGACCGACAGGCCGGGTTTCGATTACAGCGATGGATGGATTTGGGATTGTACGTGTCGCCTTGCGGGCACCCGGGACAAGAGATGGACCGCGAGGCGAGATGGTCTTGGTTGTGAATTTCTTGCCGGTGGTTGGTCGATAACTTTGAAAACGTGAATCTTTGTGAGTGGTATGAAGTATATGTTCTTGGTGAGGGCGAGCATCGAATCGAACTTGTACGTGTAACCTTGAGGCTGGCCCGCCTTTCGGTGACGACTTCAATAGGACGTGTGTGTTATATGCTACAACGATGAATTGAACGCGTTGGTGCAGGAGGATCGTCAGCGACAAGATGACACGCCGAGCTGTTTTGCCGACGCGGGGTCGTACCGAACTGCGACGCCAAAGAGAAAGCCGACAGCGTTCTCTCCCCAGTCCCGCCTCGAGCTCAAATTGTGTCGCAGGAGGTGTTGGGAGGGCGATGCATCTCCTTAGGATGTTAATTTGGGTCCTAAATGGCAGAGAAGAGTGCTTCGAATTGTTTTGTTGTTATTATTGTTTCAGTTCTTACATTTCGTCCACGTTATCCCGCGTGGCAAACAAAAGTTTTCGTGTTCGAAGCACTGTAAAATACATTTACAATAGTGTCGTCGGTTCAGGTGAAATCGTCCCGACCTGGGGTATGGGAAGTGTTTTGATGCAGCCGGTACGGCTGCTGTTGTCGCGATGGAGGATTTATTATCCGGGGAGGGATATATGTAGCGCTTGATAGGCTCCGTCTTTTGCTGTCGGCGAGGGAGAAGAGTTTTCCCGCGTTTCTTGTAGGCAGCGCTCATGAAGCTGTGGGGGTAGTGATTTTGGGAGCTGAGGCCTGTGTTGTCAGTTTTTGTGTGTTTGCCTCGTTTGCTGTACAGTGCACCTTCACTGGTGCGCGCGACGTCTGATCATACCCACACTTGTTTCTACAGCCGAGATCTTGATTGTTCCATGTCTTCCTGCGGTGTAATTGGCTGAATAGCGATTTTTTTGTCCGATGATTGTCTTAAATGTGGTCTTGAAACATTTTTTCATGTCCCTGTGGCGGCGGTTGATGTTCGGCGGATTCGTTTTTATGTTGGTTCTTGTCGGACCTGTTCGTAAAAAGCACTGCTGAATTGCACCTTTCCCACGGGGACGACAGCGACGCTCTGTCGTTGTTATATATGTTTCTGTTCCAAGACTTGAGTAGTCAACGAGCCGTCCAGGGTTGGTGACGTGTGTTTTCTATGTTGTTGTTGGCTATCCCTGATTGGCTCCGACCCGCGGTTTCCGACCCTCCCCGAACTACGGTTTGTCTATCGTCGTGCGCGCTCAACGCGCTCTTGGAATTTATTCCGGTGTGATTCCCGTCTGCGTTACCCCGTGCGGCCACGACGAGGAAACACAGCAAAAAAAATGCTGGGCTCTTCTTCCATCTTTATCGGTTGCTCATGCTTTTTTTGCCCTCGTGTAGCAGGGAAGGGGAGACAAGGCTCTTGTCTCTCCGCCCGCCGCGTGCGAACAAGGGGTGTCGACTTTCGGTCGTAATATTGATTGTTGATTCGTTGGCTGTTTTTTTTCGCTCGGAAAGACTGGAAGATCGTCTCTTTCTTACGTACCTCCTCGCGAGGGTTTGGTTTTGCACCCCCTCTAGTGTTCCCTTGAGGCTGGCGAACTTTCGTTGTCCGGCTTTCTCTAATACTCGTAGTAAGGAGGCATTTTTTTGCCCTTCCCTAGAATGATTGCCGTCCGTTTCTATCATAAGTGTTCGTTAGAAGACTCAACACCTGGTGCTTTTGGAGGGGGGCGGGAGGGCGGATTCATCCTTTTTGTTTTCTTTTTTTGTGCTGCTCCTGTCGCGGGCGGTAGTGTTGAGTGGCTGCTGCAGCAGCAGAGCAGCAGCAGAAGCAGCACGACTGTGCTGTATGTAAAAGGAGAGATGTCGGTGTTTTGGCTGAAGATGTTGGCAGGCGCGCGTGCCGATTTTCCTTCTTCTCCGTTAGGCACCATCTTTTCGGTCTAGCTGATGGATACATGACTGTTTTACCGTATCGACTTTTCGATATCATGGTATTAGTTTTATGCCCGAGCCTGAGTGCAATGTTCAGCTTGATGACACGGAAACCTGTACGCGTATGATCCAAGGTTGTTTGTTTCACGATGGACGGATTGGTTACGCTCTACCCCCCGCCCGTCCTTTCGTCCCTCACTTGGGTTCCGAGGAATCGTCTCTGTCTGGTAGTTACTTGACCATGCCCACATGTTTTTTCGAATTTGTGTCGACCATGCCCCTCCCCCCCCACACGTTCATGTGACCTACAGCATATGCTGGTCTTGTGTTGATTGAGCCTAGCAGTGTGTGACGGAGCCGTTAGAGGTGAAAAACAAACTCATGGCCTCGACTGACAATCGTCATCTATCTACGCGAGGTAATCACTTGCGCGAGCAACGTTGGATGGTGTTTGTTGTGTCTCGTGACGGGCGAACGGGGTCAAGAAATTAGGTGGTGGCTGGCGTTATGGACGGATGTGCGTCCATGTCTGGCGTTGCGTGCTTGTTTCCTTGACGGAAGCAAGCATCTCGACCGCGCTACTACAGCTGGATGTTTTTTATGTGTGGTGGGTGTGTGGAAGGGAAAGTTCGCTGTCATCGCCTGAAATAACAAGAGCAGTGTCTGGGTTGGTTGCAGCTCCGATGCAGTATTCCGCTTCGCGAAGAAAGGTCGTCCGTCAACCGATTGAGTTGTCGTGCCAGACATAGTATAGCTAGGGAGTGCGGGGGAGGGAGGCGTTCGATATTTTTGTCGTTGTTGGGTGTCCCTCGCTAGCGGCTAGTTCCCCTTCATGTGTAGACTACCTTATTTGTTCTGTTTTGGTCATTTTTATGCGAAAACGTCTTGAAAGCCCTGAAAACTATTCGCCGCAATGTGTCTTGAGCAGTCAAGTGAGAAAACTACGTGCCACCTTTCACTTTTCTTTTTGGTTGGAACAAGGGGGGGGAAGGGGGAGTGATATGTTGTTCTCGGGTGTATGCATGTGATACAATGTGGGTGTTTGTTCTTGTCTTTCTTGCCCGTTTGCGAGGTGGCGGTTTTGCCGTGGAAGGTGAAGGTTGTATGGCTGGAGCGTTATAGTATATTTTGCTTGTTGTTCGGTGTCATCGTTACGTCAGTAGAAAAAAATTGAAATATATACTGTAATACACAGTCAAGGGGTTGGAGACACACCGGGTGCGTGCTTGTTGTTCGCCTGTGTCCCCTATCGGGTCGACAATACAGCGCGACCACGTCCTCTCGCGCTCCGAAAAAACGCATTGTGTGATGTAAAGATTGGGAAACCAGCGAGCTGTGCTGGAAAAGCTACCTACTCCTGTATTGTAACAGCGGAGAGGGTCCTCGCTTCATGACTTCCTCGCACAAGAGCTTGTGCACCCCCCCAGCCCCCCGCCCCCAGCGTGCAAAATGAGTTGGTGTTTGTGTGTCGTGGCTTTGCACGGGGCCCCGCGCCATTGTCATCGCACACTCGTTCGCGTGTTCAGAATCCAAGACAAGGATATTTACGACACAATGACCGACCATCCACTTAGTCTGTTGTCAAGCATGATAGGATGGTGTTACGGTCAAAACGATGACATGATCACAAAACACCCCCGGCTGAAGTTCTCATCACACACTGGTGTGATCGTAACGGCGCGGGGCCCCGTTCCAAAATGACTTGGTTTGAAGCTTGCGTCGCACTGAAGCTGCCGCCACTCCGTTACTGGACGAGGCGAGCTGTCAAGACTAGGTGCCATGCCTCAGCTCGGTCACGGTCACACGAGGGTGCCGCAAAGAGGGGAATGCCTGTCCTGGGATTGATTTCGTGAGCTGAGAGAAAGATCAGTCTCAGTTTCTATCGCACGGATTTCTCTGCAGATCACCAAAAAAGCAACTGACGGCATTTTTACCCTAGTAAAACCCCAATTTGCAGTTGAGGGACTGGCCTACGTCGTGAAATGAGAAAAAATCCAGGGTATTTCACGTAGCGGTTTTTTTCCACGGAGCGGATCGGAGCGTAGCGGTTTTAACCGCTCCGCTCCGCTTCGTGATGCTTTCCCTTGAGAAAAACCGCTCCGCTCCTGAATCAGAATTTTGGCCCCGGGATAAACCGCTCCGTGGAGCTCCGTGAAGTTTCCCAAAAATCCGTACGAGCGGTTTTTCCACGGAGCGGTTTGAGCTACTCCGTCACACGAGCACGGATAAAACCGCAATTCAGTCACGGGTAAAACCGCAAAAAAAGTCACGGTTTTGCCACGGAGTCACGGTACTTATTTCGTCGTTTCTGATTTTCTTTTCTATTTTCATAGCAGGAGGTATTATTAGGTGTATGGCGTAGTACCGACAAGTTTCAACTAGAGGCGAGTGAGGAATCATCTGTTGTACGTGTGTTACAGGATCGTATGAGTCGAGGAGGTATGCATGTATTAGGTATTAGACTAGTACTGACAGGTTTTAACGAGAGGCAAGTGAGGAATCATCTGCTGTTTTACGTGTTGTTGCAGGAATATAGGAGTCGAGGAAGTATCGATGCGGGGAACGGTCCCTCTCTGAATAATCCGCAAGTGATTAATTGGGCTATCCTAACGGCGAGGACGCATACAGTGTTACCGGCGGCCTCCCACCACTGCTCACCGTGCGGAAAATCGCTTTTCGGTGGACCAACCTAACCTTTTCCACGACTATACGTGCGCTTTCAACGGGTTTTCATGACGGAAAACCGTCCGCAAGGCCACGGTTTCGCGCGGTTAATGCTACGGAGTAAACAATACCGTGACGCGGAAAAAAACGCACTACGGATGAACCGCTCCGCTCCGTGGGACTTTTGCCCTCGGATAAACCGCTCCGTGGAACTTGAAAAAAGAAAAAAAAAGCTCCGCGGAGCCGTTCTACTCCGTGAGTAGCCTGAAAAAATCAGTCTCAGTTTCTGTCACGGGGATTTCCGTGTCATCACACAAAATAAAATGTCGGTTTGGTTACCGCAGGAGAGAGAACCCCAACTCGCAATCGGGGAGTAGATCGCACAGCAAGGGAGATTAAACACTTGACTTGAGACATATGAAGGTGTGTCGTTTGAAATAGCCAACGTGTTGGGCAAGATATGACATGTAGACCACGATCTAGACTGCATCTATGTACCTCGTTGTGATACAGGTGATTTTCCTCCAAAATTCCTCACAGAGTGACACAGAGAGAAGCAGTCAGGATGATTCTTAGCGGCGGCCCATACGGCAGCAGCAGGACGGAGACAGAAGCAGACTTCGGGAAACCACGCACTCGGCGATGGATGGATGCACAGACACAAGCAACAGCAGTATTATTCGTAGATCAACTTAGTTCCCTTGTTGACCATGCATCATGCACCATCCAATGAGCGTGCCAAGTTTTGTTTCATTTCATGTACCACATCATTCTATTTGGACAACGAAACAGGTACCTACCTACATACCCAGCGTTCTATTCGCACTTAAGTAGAACACAACTCTTTTCGCACCTAACTTGAAACGGGTCGAGAGAGCTTTGTTATTAAGCGACCGACCTCGCGAGTCGTTTCCTGTACACACGAACTAGTCTACACTGCCAACACCGACAGACAAAAACAGATCGTCCCACCCATAGCAAAAAACGTCGACGAATGAATTCAGGCGTCGAACAACCACGAAACAAGGATTCCGACCACACCGCAGTCCCTTCGGGGGGGGGGAGAGCGATTCCCCCGAGCGCATCTACTTTCGAGTCCAAACCTTACAACGGCAACGGGCGCCATGCACATACCCTTGAGGGGTGCAAGTAATGTCTTTTTCGAGCATGCACACAAGAGCCGTCAGGACTACCGTCGAAGTTAACATGGAATCTTCCAGCCGTGTGAATCAAGTCTCGTAGCTAGGAAGGAGGCAGACAAACGTTCTCTAGGCTGCACAAACAGACCAAAGACGTGAGGTGCGCGCGTGTTCCAGACCAAAGGGAGTGACACACCCAGACTCGACTCGGTATGACAAAAAACGCAACTTACGCCGGATGGACACTGTGCATGACGGGCCGTAACACACTCACTCACCAAAGACACTGGAATAAACAGAACGACGAGATCGGAGTATTAAATAGCTCTCCCCAGCTATTTAATACTCCCCTGACCACAACCCCATCCCACCGCCCCTCGAAGCCACGAGCACAGATTCCCCTCGACAGCTTGGACGGTTCGCGTACATACCTGCTCGAGTACGCAAGCAAGCTTTTCTTCGCCCCACAGCATCAATTTTTCCAACACGAAGTGGGAGCTCGTTCGTACCCTGTGGGGCACCAAAAATCTAGTTCGGCCGGAGGTTAATTAATCTTCTTAGTCGGTACCGCCGTGTGTGCAGCCGACTCGACTGGCGGTGGGAAAGGGCGCTTGCGCTCGTCATTTCTTCTTGCACTCCATCTTGTGTTTTTCTTTCCAGTGCGCCACCTGGCAGTCTTTCGAACAATCTGTGGGGGGCGGGGGGACACGACCAGGCAAGGAACAACGACAAATGCATCTCAACCAGGACACCCAAGATGGTACAGCATGTAACGAGGAAAAAAAAGGGGCACCGCGACAGGGGAGAGACGTAAGACAGGCAGGTAAGGTAGATACAAAGTGAAGGGCACCAAGCTTCCATGCTTTTCAACTATGGCAAGCCAAACCAACAACAACCGACGTAAGACCCGAAGCGGTTTTGTTGCGGGCGCGAGACAGACGGGCGGTGAGAGAAAGACTCACAAACGGTTGTGCGACAGCGACCGCAGCGCTTGAAGCCCTCCTTGACATCTCCTTGTCGACGGCCACAGGTTTCCCTCGAGCACAGCACCGCCGCATCCGCGCCCCTCTTGATGTCCGACAGCACGACGTTGAGGTGCCCTCTCGTGCTCGGCACCTAGTCATCATCACCGGCGTGGAACGAGGGCGGGGGGGGCGTACTCTTTATGTTATGCGTGCCTTAGCGGTTACACCATTGGCGACCCGTCCTCGAGAGGACGGGGCATTGTTCTCACAGGACCGATCACCGATGGTCAATCGTCCCTTCCTACTTTGCCAAAAGTGGCTTAAATTCTTTTTCCCCGGCCTATCTATCCTTTCGATATCACTTCCCGCCTTTTCAACCCAATTCCTATGCCTCAGTACAGCTCTGCTCTTCTCGTGGCTATTCCATGTCTCAAACATCTCCGAGGGGGGCTCCGCATGTTCTGCATGACTTGGTTGTAAAACTAGTGATCACGACGGGAACGGGGGGTTGAAACTTCGGGTTGTTTGCCACAAAAATATTCTTGCGGTCTTGCAGACAAGAATCGACCACGAAAAGTCTTTCATTCGGGAGGAGCTACTTGTAACATGTACCAGCACATAGCTAAGCCCGTAGTACAACCAACACCAACACATCAACGCAACAAAGCGAAGGAACCAAGCTTCCGCGAGCCGAATCATCACAAAAATAAAGAAATCAAACAAGGACCCAACACCAACCTGCTTCCCTCCTGAAGGCCGCACGGGCCCAGACACCCCGGACGTCGGCCCAACTCCACCGGCGGTAGCCGAAGCGGAGTCAGTTACAGCCCCAACCGTTCCCTCCGCTCCCTCGTGACCCCCATCTCCGTTACCGGCGACGCCATCTCCCCCGCCACCGCCGTCCTAAACAAAAGACCGACGGGGTGGGCACTCGTGTAAACGCATGACGTAGTCGTTAGACCATTGATCTCGCATCCCCACAACGCCGCACTTGCCGGGCTTTCGCCGGCCCATGATTCGGATGGACCAGAGACCATGGGGGGCGCACTTGGGAGCAGCGTGAGAAGGCGGGCGTGTCAAGGTATGTAGACACAAGTGGCACAATCGCATGTCACCCTTGTTGTGTTGCCTGTCCGTGAAGGGGAGAAAGACAGCAGTGGGCGCAACCTAGTCGTCTCTTGAATGAATAGTCCATCTGCCTCGTGAGTGAACAGTTTATCCATCTTTAGGGAGTGAACAGTCTGTCCGTCTCGTGCGTGAACAGTCTATCCGTCCCGTGAGTGAAAAGTCTACCCGTCTCGTCAGTGAACAGTCTCATCCGTCTCGTGAGCTCGTGAGTGAATAGTTTATCCGTCTCGTGTGTTAACAGTCCATCTGTCTCTTATGTGAACAGTCTATCTGTCTCGTGAGTGAACAGTCTATCCGTCTCGAGCGAAAAGTCTATATCCATCTCTTGCGTCAACAGCCTGTCCGTCTCGTGATTAGTCTATCGGTCTTGTGAGTGAACAGTCTACCCATAACCATCTTTTGCGTGAACAATCTATTCGTCTTGTGAGGGAACAGTCTTTCCGTCTCTTCAATGAACAGCCTATCCGTCTCGTAAGAAAATAGTCAATCAGTCTTGTGAGTGAACAGTCTACCCGTCTCGTGAGTGTAAGGTTTATCCGTCTTGTGAGTGAGCAGTATAGCCCGTCTCTTGAATGAACAGTCTATCCGTCTCTTTGGCGAACAAACAGCCCGTCTGTCTCGTGAGCGAACAGTCTCACACCGATAAATCGCGCATAAACTCTCTCATCACTGCAGTACATCCCGCTGAGGTCAACTCCAAGGCACGCTAGACGACATCGTAGGCCAGGTCGGTTCTGTGTATGCAACATCCACCAAAACAGGAAACTCCTCAATTGCTTTGAAATTGGACCACATTAACTGCGCTCGGATCTGCTCAGCTTGCTCCACATGCATGCAGACGGACCCGTGGTCAGCTGCGCTCAAAGGGAGAACAAACAGCAACAAAACTACACCCTCAACAGTTTTAGTAAATCCTTCGAACACAGCCTATAACTTTCAACTTGCTATCTTGCATCTCTCATCCCTCTTCGCCTCCTTCTCTTCAGCCAAGTGCGAATTCATAGGCCGGTCGAATGGATCGAGTGCCCCAACCACGAACTGGCTCTTCCGAAACTTGAGAGCCACCGAGTCTGATGCTTCGCACAAAAGGCGACATCCGCAGATTGTCTTGCCTCAGACACGAAGAGTCTGGGGCCGTGGAAAGACGAAAGCACACGCCCCAACATTCTCCTAAACATGACCGAGAGAGAATTAAAATGTCTTCCACCGTTTTTGACTGCTGTCCTAAAAGCACAGCAGCCGTCCTCGGAAAGACGGAAGTGGACTGAGCGTTCCTGACAAGCCGTCTCTGAGACTTACCGCCGGTGATTCTGAGAGGATGGCTGCCACCAGTCTCACTGCCCAGCCTCCCAGGCTAAATCCTTCCGCTATGAAGTCTGCGGATCAAGGGGGGGGGGGGGGGG